GACTGCTTAACACAGAAAGTGTTCAACATGTGTCACTGCCCTTCCTTACACTCTGATTTGAAGCATGTCACCTGACTTCCTTGTGTCTCAATGTGTCCAACCTGCAGAACTGGAGAGATGAAATAATCTATGCTGGTGGTGTGAGGATAAGTACAATTATATGGGAAACTTAAAAACAACACACAAAAAACCTTTCCTAACTTTCTGGAGCATGGTGAGCTTAAGGCCTGCCCTGGACCACCCACTAATACTATCAAAAGTGTGTGAACTGTGATAGACATTTTCCCAGGGTGAGACAAATGTACTTAATTTTTTTTTAAAAAAAAGGAAAAGCCATTGAGAGGAAATAAGTGAAAAGGCAGGAGCCAATAAAGAATGGTTGGGGGGAAGGTAAGAAAAGGCCCAGACCATAGGGGGAGGGAGTGGTGCTGGTCAAGGAAAGGGGCCCTGTCCCTCCAGCTGGCAGGGAAGAAGGAAGGAAGCTCCAGGCCCATTTTGGGGTTGGTAAAGGAGGGGCAGGGGAGCTGAGGAATTTGGAGACAGCTACATTTACACTTTTAAACTTCTTTGGTGAATGGGAGGGTCCTCTCACTGGTAACTGCCACCATGAGACTGTGTTCTACTTGCCCTGTTCCCCAGCAGAAGGCCCCTTGTCAATCTAGGTTTCTCCCTCCAAATTATCAGGTATTGTCTAAAATAGGATCCTACTATTTTAGAGTATCAACCAGCCATCTCTCCCAGTAAAGAGCCTTTCATCATAGTTAGCAAATTCTGTAGTGAAATAGATTTTTCAAGGCAGCAGAATAACTCTAGTCCAGTGATGGCGAACCTATGACACGCGTGTCAGAGGTGACATGCGAACTCATTTTTTGGGTTGATTTTTCTTTGTTAAATACCTGCAGCAGTCAGAGGGACTGTGTCATACCCCCTGCTTAAACCCCTGGGGCAAATGCCCATCCCACAGAGAATCCGGGGTTCGGCCTCCGCCTGCTTCTTTGAGCTTACTGCCATCGCTATCTGTCCCCTTCATGCCCCTCCAGCCCCAGTAGCTTCCTTCCAGTTCCTTACCCGTATCTGGCTGCCTCTGACTTTCAGACTTAGCACTGGCTGTTCCGTCTGCCTGGAACACTCTTCCCCAAACACCCTTGCCTCCCTCATCTCCTTCAGGTCTCTGCCCACAGGCCACCTGCTCAGAGAGGACCTCCTGGCCCCTTTATTATCCTCTCCCAAGTTTCTGAAGAACGGCACCCAAAGATACCCACATCCTAATCACTGAGACCTGAGAATGTTCCCTTCGTGGCAAAAGGCACTTTGCAAGTGTGATTAAGTTAAGGAACTTAAAATGAGGATATGATCCTGGGTTATCCAGGTGGTCCTTATAAGAGGGAGGCAGAAGGAGACTTGACTATGGAAGTAGGAGCTATGACAGTGATGGCGAACCTATGACACGCGTGTCAGAGGTGACACGCGAACTCATTTTTTTGGTTGATTTTTCTTTGTTAAATGGCATTTAAATATATAAAATAAATATCAAAAGTATAAGTCTTTGTTTTACTATGGTTGCAAATATCAAAAAATTTCTATATGTGACACAGCACCAGAGTTAAGTTAGGGTTTTTCAAAATGCTGACACGGCGAGCTCAAAAGGTTCGCCATCACTGCACTAGTCAAAGTGAGTTGTGTTTTCTTTTTTTTCCTGTCAGAGGGGGCATTTGTTCACAGAAAAGACTTGTTATAGTCTTTCCTGTTTTAAATAAATACTTGGATTATTTTTAAGTGTGTGACAACTGCTTTATTTCTGCCTCAGGAATTGATCTGAAAGGGACCCAGGGTCCAGAGCTGCTAGATAGGAAGGTAGGCTAATTCTCTAGGGCGGGAATGGCTAACCTACCTGAAATGCTCCAAGTTCAAATCAGAGACTATGTGGTTGGTAGATTTGAACTGGGCCGAGGATCTCCTTGAGGCAAAACGTTCACCCACAGGCAAAGTCCTGCTTACACTCTCTGCCCACCCTTCCTTCAGTTGGTCTGGCTCCAGGCATGGTTCCTGGCTAAATTAGACAGATGGGTTCATTGCTTGATCTTGACTGCAACCCATGAGCAGTTAGGTCCTTCCTTTCCCCACCAGACCCTCTCACCAGCCCCTCCAGCCCCCTTTCCTTTGAGAAAGTTCTGCCCTCCACATCTGTTGAAAGGGTTCACTAGGAAAGACTGCCACTGTACTTGGCCGGGCTGCAGGGCGTGGGGAGGTCTGGAAGGACAGGGTGGAGGGTTTGGGGGGGACATCAGAGCACCAAGGGACTCAGGCTAGACGCGACCTTGCGCAGGCAGCGTTGAGGCCGGTCAGTCCCAGTCCTCAGCCCGGCCTGCCTCCTCAATTCCCCGGCCCAAGGGCAATTTGGCGCAGTCAGCAGTTTTCAGTGCAGTAAGAATTAAATCGGATTTTCTGGGCTCTCCACTTATCCCCCTTACCTTCTAACCAATAAATCCTCTTAAAGACCTGAGGTGCCAAACAAAAAAACCTGCCAGTGGCCTGGATCGCTGCCGCTGGGAAGAGTCACTTCCTGGTGGAGCCCTGCAAAAGCACCACTCGCCCCGGCGCCACCCCTCCCAAGCACTCCTCCCCCCTCCTCCCGCGACCCAGCCCACCACCTGCTCTTCGCACTGTCCCATGGATGAATCTGGATTGGATAAGCCTCGAAAATCACAAAGAAATTCGCACTGCAGTGTTAATAGTGTTGACCTTCTCTTGGGTGCTTATGGCTTAACTCTTTCAACTGAAAGCACCACTCGCCCCGGCGCCACCCCTCCCAAGCACTCCTCCCCCCTCCTCCCGCGACCCAGCCCACCACCTGCTCTTCGCACTGTCCCATGGATGAATCTGGATTGGATAAGCCTCGAAAATCACAAAGAAATTCGCACTGCAGTGTTAATAGTGTTGACCTTCTCTTGGGTGCTTATGGCTTAACTCTTTCAACTGAAAGAAAAGGTTTCTAATGGTAGAATTGCAGGTACCAGATCTAAAATGGTTCGGAAGACTAGGAGATGAAGAGGGTTTTCTCAAATCGCAGCCTTATTATAAAAGGCAGCCCAACCCTGGTCGGGTCGTTCAGTTGGTTAGAGCGTGGTCCGGATATGCCAGGTTGCAGGTTTGATCCCTGGTCAAGAATTCATAAATAAATGGAATTTTGAAAATCTCTCTCTCTCTCTCTCTCTCTCCCTCTCTCTCTCCCTCCCTCCCTCCCTCCCTCTCGATAATTTTTTTTAAAAAGCAGCCCTATTTTGGGCCATAGACTTTTCCAAGCATTCCTTCTCCCTCTATTCTATAATGCATCCTAAAAGTATTATGTTATGACAAGATAAATATGGTTTCTTAAGTGGATCCCAGGCAAGGCTACTAAATACTAAAACCGCAGGGAAATAATATTTTTCTTCAACTGCAGAACTCAGAAGGAGGCCAGAGACAACTAGTTCATTTACCAGCTCCTAGACTACATTCAACGAGTCCTCTAATTTTTTGAGGAGTCAGGAGCCCAGCCAAATGAGTAAGAGAGAGAACATTGAAAGATGCACACATGTGTGTGCTGTAAAAAATGTTGCTTTGGTGGAATAAAATTTACAGCAAGTGAACCTATGTTTAATTACACTTAATTTTTATGCCCAATACTAATTGGGCTTTAAATGGAAAGCACTTGATAGTCAACATTTCATTTATTTATTTATTCAGAGCATAATGTACCTCTTATGTGCTAGGCAATGCACTAGCCCTAGTGAGTACAGCAATAAATTAAACATGGACTAGCACCTCAAATAACAGCAAACATTAAGTCAGCTAGACCAAGGCTCAAACGCCCAGATCTGCCACTTATAAGCTGTGTGAACTTGGGCAAGTTACTTAATTGTTCAGTTTTCTCATCTGAAAAAAATGTCCATAATAATTGCACTTATCTTGTGATAAAGATTAAATAATTTAATGCATGCAAAGTGCTTAGAGCAGAGTAAGCACACACTCAATAAAGGTTAACTAGTATTATTCAAAAATAATTTCATATACTGTGTATGCATATACACACATGCAGGCACATGCATGTCTACCTTTTTAAAAAAAGAGATCCTTTACTTCCCGTTGTAAAGGCTTGACCTGGTAAATGCTTGACTCAAATTCTGGTCGTCCTAACTGCTCTCATGGCTCTTAAGCACAATTGGAGCTCAGACCACTGCTTTGGGTTTTTTAGCTTGAATAGCCCTATCAAGTGAGACCAGGCTAGAGAATGCACCTTTGGATCCCTTTTCCCTTTCTCTTCTTTTAGTCCCTACTTATGGGGATAGCCAGCTCTACTCCTTTCCTTGCCCCTTCTTCCCCTTTCTTCTCCCCTTGACTTTCTGCTCCTTTAACATTTCTCATCTTAGATTCCTTTGTTGTGCCTTGCACAGAGACATGTGCCCAGTAGGAGCTCAATAATATCTGATTAATTGAACTGAATCCCACCTTGTCTACTGAAAGGGAAAGGGCTTATCTTCACTCACCCCTCCACCCCACTTGTTCTGGGCATCCAAGCAAACTTATTTAAAGCAGGTCTGTCATTGGGGAAGGCAGACCCTGAGGGGTAAAGAGAGAACAGATATTAAGGAAACTATAATGTAATCATTTAGCCATTAACCCTTTTATATCCAATTAATCTGATAAAGCAGGGTGTTGTTTTTTTTTTTGTCATCAATCATTCATTTAATCAAGTAGCAAAAGTAGATAAACATACTGAGTTAATTATTCTTCTGTATATAATGATTGACAATAAAGTTAATTTATGCCTATTTTAACCCTTTAACATTTAGAGCCATTAGAAATAATAGCTATTAGCAGTTAGAGAAAGGATTTGGGGGTGATCTTTTCTTTCCTAAAGCGTCTTAAAGAAATTTCATACTTACGGTACTTAATTCACTTGAAATCTATTTTGATAAAGAGTTGTAGTTACTGGCATCTGAGCACATTAATTCTGTGCTATCAAATATAATGAAAAACAATTATGCTGGTCTGCCTCTTTTGTATTATTCTTATTCAGACTCTTTGAGAAGACTTTTTTTTTTAAATGTACGTTTCTGATGCATAAAATGATTTTTAACCAGATAAAAATATGGTGCTAATTCAAATGTGTGTTGGATACAGCACTAATGGAAAGAAGTCTTAGAGATAGCAAAACACTAAAACATATATTTAAGTTAAAAGAGTTCTTGAAAGTTCTAAAAATCTATTTTTTATTTGCCAGCACCTTTCTTCAATTTTCCAGAGAAATTTCTTCTGGTGGGTATTTTGTTGTTGCTGTTGTTGTTGTTGTTAGTCCTCACCCCGAGATATTTTCCCATTGATTTTTAGAGAGAG